AAAAAGCGTCCCTTTACGTCAAAAGGGGGTTTAGACCATCTAGAGAACAGCAATAGTAAATCAGAACCACTTGCAGAATTGAGTGATAATGATTCGTGGGGGAAATTCGTCATCAGACACTGAAAACAATTTTGCGACTTTGCTCAGCGATGTGCGAACTTGGAGCTATATTTCAAATGTCAGTGTTTTTGGTTTGATTATATTTTTGAATTAAATGTATTATTATTTTTTATGATTATTTATTAAATTATAATTTATGATTTTCGTGTCAAATTTTATCATATCCGGAATGTTTACTAGACTCTTGTTCGGACAGATTTCAGTGAGTTATTCCTAAATATTACAGCCTACAATAAAAAACTACATATTTCCATGCAAAATAATGGTACCGCTTTCAGCACCAAAAATCTGAAATAATCATACCGCCAAGGAGGTTAAGGTAACTGGGATATTGGAGTCTTAAAATTCATTAGTGAGCTACAATATTTAAAAAGGAAATCTGTAATATGCAATTTTCCCATCAATTCCCTCTCACTTCCTGTTTTGGGTATGGGAGAGGAAGTGAAGGGAAATTTCTCCAATGATACACAGATGGGAAAAAAATTGGCGGGGGTTACAACCCTCCTTTACACTATCCAAAATGAAAAAAAAAAAAAGTTTTGCCTTTACACGTTAATATGTTTATTTCTCATATTTTTATGTATCACTGCCCTGCTAACACAGTCCAGAGAATCAACCAGTGTGACCTGAGTTTTTTATACTCTCTTCAGATTTTTCCACAAAGCTTTTGTTCAGCGCTGCAACCTCTTGTCGCGGGATTCTTTGAATTGCAAGCAACCTCTGTTAAAATTACAGAGATGACAGTGCCTGTTACTCGTGTTAAACGAGATTGCATTTTCCCAAGCTTTAAAGCTAAGAGAGACAGGTAGTCAGAGGCATTGATAAAACAGGTGAGCAAATGGCACATGACAGCTGCCAAGATAAACATTAGACCCTGTGGTCTACTTTTAGGTAAATATTCCAATAATCATTTAAAACGAACTTTGTGAAAAAACACGAGGGTTCCCTTTTAAGATACGGGTTAAAAAAAAAAAAAAAAAAGTGTCCCAGAGTAACCTCTCAGCACGACGAAGGGATTGGAAACTCTGGCTGTCAGACAGTTTGGTGGAGTACAGCAGGGTCAGGCTTCTAAACAGAACTATTGATCGCCCCTGCGAGGGAGAACAGACGTGGGTCAACTATTACTGCAGATTAATAGGATGAAAGACAAACACGATGCCCGTAGATTTCAAGGGATCTCTCCGGCAGGAGCCATTAGTGCCTGGAAAGGCTCTGACATTTCCAGCATACGAGTAGCTGGGGGGACGCGGCGGAGGGGGAGCGCACCGCACATTTATACCACGTCCCTCTCCGGAATGCTGAGAGGGAAAATAGTATCGACTTCAGCTATTACCTGCAGCTTATTACTCTCCCCCCTAGAACCATCCTGATGGGCTGTAAAGATAATGATCCTTCTACAGAATCCCGGGACATTGCTCACCATCTTCAGTTTAATAAGATGGATCTTTAGGGCTAGAGGAGGATAGAAGTAATGCCAGAAGGATACAAAGGGCTTAATGTGGGAATTACACATCAGGATCCAAATAGAACTGAGTGGGCACTGAACATTTACATTACAGCACAATAGAGATACTGAGCTGACTAGGCTGTATTCCATACAGGAGATGAGAGATACAGAAACGTCAAGAATGGGGAACTAAGACAAGGAGGTAGATGAACCTGAACACCGGAAATCTATTCAGAGAAAATGCGTAGATTTAAAGATGAACTCCAGGTATGTAATTAATAGCATAGATACACTGATCCAGCTTGGACCAATACAAGTATGCATATTCCATACCTGGGGGGCCGCTGTGAAAGCTGAAAATTATTATTATTGGTACCTATATAGCACCATCAATTTATGCAGCACTTTCCATAAATATATTGTACATTCCCATCAGTCCTTGCCCTTAAGGAGCTTACAATCTAAGGTTCCTAACTCACATCCATACATATGTATATACTGGGGCCAATTTAAACAGGAGCCAAATAACCTCTCAGAATGTCTTTACAGTGTGGGAGGAAACCCACACAGGCACAGGGAGAAAATGCAAACTCCAGGCAGGTAGTGCCATGGTTGGGATTCGAACCAATGACCCTAGTGCTGCTAAGCACCACTTAGTTACATAGTTAGTCTAGCTGAAAAAAGACAAAAGTCCATCCAGTTCAACCATTAAAAAAAGTTATACTCCTACACCCACAGTTGATCCAGAGGAAGGCAAAAAACCCAGCAAAGTATGATCCAATTTGCTCCTGCAGAGAAATAATTCCTTCCTGATCCCTGAGAGGCAATCAGATATTCCCTGGATCAATTTTACCTATAAATGTTAGTATCCAGTTATATTCTGTGTATCTAAGAAACAATCCAGGACTTTTTTTTTTTTTTAAGTAATCCACAGAGCTGGCCAGAACCAACTCTTGAGGGAGTCTATTCCACATTTTCACAGCTCTCACTGTGAAGAAACCTTTCAATGTTTGGAGATTACATTTCTTTTCCTCCAGTATAGGTAATCCCTGATGATCAACTAGGGGTTCTGGTCCTGCAAACCCTATGTAGGGGTAACACAGGCACTTATAGATGTGGTGATGTCAATGCGGAGTAGTGGTGATATACTTGAGGTTAAATCTGAGCTCCACCCAAAAGGAGACGTTCCGCTTTAATGCTTTGTCCCCCACTTCCCATTAAGAATTAAGAACCAACTCTTGAGGGAGTCTATTCACCGTGAAGAAACCTTTATGTTTTTGGTGAGTCAATTACTTTTCCTCCAGACGTAAAGAGTGCCCCCTTGTCCTCTGTGATGACCTCACAGCCAGCACTACTACCATGGTCACTGCTATCTTTTGGGTCCTTCGCCAAACATCTGCCCCACTGAATACTGAACACAGGGGGTTGCTCGCTTTGCACCACCACCATTCACAGAAAGCCTTGTATTTTTTCATTGAACACAAAGTATTCTCTGACTGGCTGAGCTAGACATTGTGATGCGATTACCCTTCCTTTGCATCTCGTCCAACTAGAGAACACCTTATTTTCACTTAAAAAAGGCAAGGACTTGTGTGAATGGCAGCGGTGTCGAGAAAGTAACCCCGTCAGCAGTGGGCCCAGGACCTGGAAGATTGCCGCTATCACTGTAGTAGGGCCGACTACTACTACAGTGATTGTCCGCTTCCACAGCTGTCCCTCAGGTATGCATTGACTTACGGTACATCTGACCAAGCTGGACCATTATCACTATGCAATTAAGATCATACTGGAGCTCAGCTTTAGAATAGTATAGATCTGAGAATGCGGAAATATGGCAGCAGACAATAAAATATATTGAAGCATTAAAAGCGCATATAAGCTTTCACATGTTAATACAGCTTACAAGTCATTTTCAACATGTTTAAATGTCATAGGGTGACCGAGCTCTGTCCACATCTCCCACTTGTGTTTCGGCACGGTTTCCCTGTCACACGGGCTTCCGATAAGGCTACAAGTACCTTAGATTGTACACCCCCCTGAGGGTTAGGGACTGATGTGAATGTACAATATATATGTAAAGTGCTGCGTAAATTGACGGCGCTTTATAAGTACCTGAAATAAATAAATAAGTGTCCATTTTAATACACATGCCACAAGCAGCCGTTACATGTAGATAGGAAGTGGCTGCAAAATCAGAGACCGTGAAATAAAAAAAAAAAAACATTTCTTAGATACACAGAATATAACTGGATATAACATTTATAGGTAAAGTTGATCCAGGGAATATCCGATTGCCTCTCGGGGGATCCGGAAGGAATTTTTTTCCACTGCAGGAGCAAATTGGATCATGTTTGCTGGGTTTTTTTTTTTGCCTTCCTCTGGATCAACTGTGGGTGTAGGATTATAACTTTTTTTTTTTTTCTATGGTTGAACTGGATGGACTTTTGTCTTTTTTCAGCCAGACTAACCATGTAACGATAAATAATAATAACATATGCAGCGCTAAAAAAGAGATGACACATAAATCATAAGTCTGATAAAATATGAATATGAATAAAATAAGTGGTGTCTAAAGTGCTTAAAGTGAAAACAACGTCCTCAGGTGATATCTCAATTGTCCCAGTAAAAGGTGCAAAAGTTGTCGACTCCGTGCTCAAAGGTGGGTAAACTTTATGCACTCACCAGAAAGCGCATAATGTGCGCATTTGAGTTGTCAGACCACTCCTGGTACTAGAAGGCTGTGGCAATGTGGGTCATCTAGCAGGCTGTCACTCTGGTAGGGATGCTCCTTCCTCTAACCAGCAGGGGGACACCAGACATCCAGCAACGGTTGGCATAAAGCTAATCCAGACTCCTCAGACCAGGACACTCAAAAAAGATATCCACCTTGAAAAGGGGGGGCTCGACCAAACAGCCCACCCAAAAAAGCACTACGCTCCACTCGGGTCCCAGCCTGGTCACTCAGGGCACAGCGTGCACGCTATACAAAGAACCCCGACACAGCTCTTCCGCATCCGGGTACCTGACGTACAAGGCAACTGTTTATGATACACACAGTTTTAGCAAACTAAAGGTTTACATTTACTTTAACTAGTTGCCGACCGCAGATAGCCGAATGACGGCTGCACTGCGGCCGGCCAGTTCTGGGTGGACGTCATATGAGAACGCGCACCCCGGCGATCTCCGTGATCGCTGTGTCCTACGGACACAGCTGATCATGGTGATGTGATAAAAGGCCAATCACAGCGGCCTTTTACCACGTGATCAGCGGTGTCCAATGACACGCTGATCAGAGAGAAATGCAATTGCCGGTTCTCGGCTGCACTTTCCTCACGCTGTCAGATCGTGAGGAAAGTACTGCCGAGAACCGGCAGTTGTCAGAGCGGGGATCGGCACCGATCATCAGGGCACTGATGATCAGTGCCCTGATGATCGGTGCCCAGCATTGCCACCTACAAGTTCGCCCACCTGTGCCCAGCAGTGCCACCCACAAGCTCCGCCCACCTGTGCCCAGCAGATCACCCACCTGTGCCCAGCAGCGCACCCACCTGTGCCCAGCAATGCATCCACCTGTGCCACTCTGCAGTGTCACACACCTGTGCCCAGCAGTGCCACCCACCTGTGCCCAGCAGTGCCACCCACCTGTGCCCACCCATCAGTGCTGCCCACCAGTGCCACCCACCAGTGCAGCCCAGCAGTGCCACCAGTCAGTGCCCAGCGGTTGTGCCAGTTCGTGCCGCCAGTCAGTGCCCAGCAGTGATGCCAGTCAGTGCCGTCTATCAGTACCCATCATCAGTGTCACCTATCAGTGCTGCATATTAGTGCCGCCTATCCGTGACACCTCATTAGTGCTGCCTATCAGTGCCGCCTATCCATGCCACCTCATTAGTACTGCCTATCAGTGCCCTTTAGTGCCACCTATCAGTGCCCATCGGTGCTGCCTCATCAACGCACATCAGTGAAGGAGAAAAATTACCTGTTTGAAAAATTTTATAATAGAAACAAAGAAACTTTTTTTTTTTTTTTTTCAAATTTTTTGTACTTTTTTTGTCTATAGCGCAAAAAGTAAAGCGCCCAGTGGCAATTAAATACCACCAAACAAAAGCTCTATTTATGAGAAAAAAATGATCAAAATTTCATATGGGTACAATGTTGCATGACCGCGCAATTGTCAATCAAAGTGCGGCAGCGCTGAAAGCTGAAAATTGGCCTGGTAAAGAAGGGGGTATAAGTGCCTGGTAGGCAAGGGGTTAATGAAAACATACCCAGATCCAAAGGGCCACTCCAGACCCGCTCCTCCTGCTGTCCATGAACGATCAGGCTGGTGGCTCCTGTACCGCATCTCTGCTCACCATTTACAGATATAAAAGGATGAAAGCTGCATTCCAATATTAGCTCTTTCTGGCATTTATTTCATTTGTAACGAGATGACTGCATGTGTGCAAGGATGCTATTCTTATAAGCAAGCCAGAGGTGGTGAAAAGCGGTAAAGTGAGGTTTTGGGTGGGGAGATTATACATGCAGTTGTCTCCATAAAAATGGAATAAATGCCAGAAGCAGGTAACATTGGAGTGAAGCTTTCATCCTTTTATAGAATTTAAAATTGTTGTAAACCCTTCCATATACCCAGTGAAGTGACTGGCTTCAGGTGATACATGGAGATGAAACAAATCCTCCTACATACATTTACCTGTTTATCTGCAGTATTCTCTACATCTGTTCAAAGTCAAGAATTTATAAAGCTTACCTGAGAGTTCGGAAAGCAGTGGAAAGCTGAAATTACACTCTGCACAGCTCAGTGAGAAAAGATCTGAGAGCTGATTGCAGGGAAGAAACCACCAAGGGGGGGGGGGGGGCCCTTCACATAGCACACAGGAACAGAGCTGTGGCTGCCAATCTGGAGGTCCCTCCCCTGTCACCATTTTTTCTTGGTGTCAGGAAAGCTTGTCAGAAGTGATTCATGCTGTTAGCAGTGAAACAGCAGAAATGACATGTAGCACTCTGGATTGAGATAAGTACACACTATAGAGGGATATGCTTTGTTCATGTTTCATGTGTGAGGTTTACAACCACTTTAATGACTTCTTTTTGAAAAGTACAGGCTCTGGAGCAGTCATCCTGATTTTGCTCAATGATTGACTGATTTAGAACAGACCAAAGCTTAGACTTTACTGGCTACAATAAGTCAGAATCAGGATGACAAGCCCACATCTTACAGTTTACAAAACATCTCTGTAATGGCAATGCTCCCATTTCTTTCCTTGCAGGTTCACTTTAAAGTCATAAAACGTTAACAGAAAACATAAAGGACTTAAAGTGGTTGTAAAGGCCGAAGGTTTTTTTACCTTCATGTATTGTATGCATGAAGGTAAAAAAAAAACCTTCTGTGTGCAGTGGCCTCCCAAGCCCCCCCAATCCTTACCTGGGCCCCCTCCAATCCAGTGATGTTTTCAACGGTCTCTGCTGTCTGGGGACTCTTCCTCCTCATTGGCTGAGACAGCAGCGGAAGCCCATTGACTCCTGCTGCTGTCAATCACAGTCAGTGAGCCATTGAGGAGAGAGGGCGAGTGGGTGGGGCTGAGCCGTGGCTCTATGTGTCTTATGGACGCATACAGCAGTGGCTCAGGAAAAAGCACACAGTGGTGCCCCAGGGCGTGTGGCTTTCCCTGGGGGCACTGCTTGAGAGGGAGGAGCCTGGAGCGCCAGCGGGGGACCCAAAAAAGAAGATGATCGGGGCTGCTCTGTGCAAAACCACTGCACAAAGCAAGTAAATATAGACATGTTTGTTATTTAAAAAAAGAAAAAAAACCCCAAAGCTTTAGTGTCACTTTAACTTGGCTACTGAAATTGCAGATCTGATGGTAGCCTAGATATTTGGTCACATGATTTCTGCTAAAAGAGAGGACCAGCCAATGGGAACGCTGATCACCCCCAATGCAGAGATTATATGATCAAATGCCTAAGCATTGCTGGCATGGAACTTCAGAGCAGATGTTTTTCCAGTAAACACTTTTTTTTTTTTTTTTACTTTACAGGGAACATACAGTATAATAGTTTTATACAAAACGTATTTATTATGGTCAGGACAAAAAAAAAAAAAGTTTCCTACTGAGGTACAGTAAATATAAAATTGCATACCAATGCAAAAGCATTCTTTATTTGATCCAGCAGGTGGAGCTTAAGGATCCTTTCACCTTTCCAGACTCTGTTTGCTTCTGCATGATCTCATTGACTTACTCCATATCCGATGGATCAGGACCAAGTTTCAATTAGACAAATCATAGCCTTAATACAGGCAATGTCTGCTGCACTGTATCTTTGGGTAGCCCATTGTGCTGTGGGAATCCCTTTTCATATACTGTATTTACTGTTTATTGGCAAACAATATGTAACTTTGGTTGCTGGAGCACTGCTGATTAATATTTACCTCCATCAAAGCTACTGTAGATAGGATTTGGGGGGAGGGGTGCCTGCCCTGTCTGCTGTCATCCGAGCTAGAATTTCATTTAAACGTGAAGTATAGCCAAAGCTCATTTGGCCGTACTTCTCCTATGGATCACAGGAGTGCACTTAGTCCTGCACAAAGGCCTTCTGGCAGCGGATGTCACAGAGCCTTCCAGGACCATCGAAAGATCCCGACTTTAATGTTGGGATCAGCCCAGAAGAGCGACCGGCAGCTGGCTCAGCCTCTAAGCATGTTGCGGAGAGCCCGAGCCAACCATTCCCCGCCCCTCCACAGCCTGGCGTTCCAGTGAGCACTGGAGGGCAGAGCAGAGAGCTGGTGACTGACAGTCACCAGCTCCCTGAAGACCAAGAACTGAGTGATAAGTGGTCTTTGATCACTCAGTTCTCAGTCTTAGAGGAAGGGGTACAGATGCAGCATCGGATCAATACTGCATCTACCTAGATAATTATCAAAGTTTAAAAAGGAAAAGAACAGCGAGCGCTGGTCCTAAACAGCAGCTAAGCACTCTAAGCAACCGATATACACTTAAACAGAATAACATAAAAAATAGTGCAGTGCTGAGGATAGTAATCATAAAACAGAAATGAGTCCACTGCAAGTCCAGTTCATAAAAACGTGTCAAGTGGCAAGTGGGAATTCAATATTGGTGATCCGTGAGGAAGTGGCTGAAAAACGCACTCATCAGAAAGAAGATATATAAACGCAGTATATATCCAAAGCCCATGGATCCTCAATCCAGAAGGAAACAAAGCTGGTCCAGTCACAGAAAATGGGTCCCTCCTTTATGGATGCAGCAACAGATCTTCCTCCTCCCAGTTAGGTGTAGGATTCCAAAATCAGGGTTCTGCAAGCAAAGTGCTCTGGACATTGATGCTCCAGATCCCGCAGGCCGGGGAACAGGTTATAAGTCGGCCGGTGTAGGCGGTCAGGATCCCGGACAGTGATAGAGGTCTATCGCGGTCAGGATCCCGGACAGTGATAGAGGTCTATCAGCTTTGTTTCCTTCTGGACTTGCAGTGGACTCATTTCTGTTTTATGATTACTATCCTCAGCGCCGCACTATTTTTTTATGTTAAATTATCAAAGTTTGTTTTTTTAAAACTTTTCTTTCAAAGTAGAATTAAAGGCAAAACTTTTTTTTTTTTCATTTTGGCTAAAGTAAGATCCATTCATACCAGGTGCAGTGGGCTATTCCAGTGCAGTTCCACTGCAAAACAAAGCAAAACGCCTTGTCTCAGGTGTGGCCAAGTTCATGTCGTAGCATTGTGGCGGAGTGAGTTCAGAGCAGGTCACTACATACCGGCCAATAGAACTCTATGAAATGTCATTGTGTGACATTTCAATAAAGTTTGTTTAGAATAAAAAATTTTTAAAAAAGTGAAAAGTGCAAGGTGCTGGTATTGGCTATTCAACACTGTACCGGGCTAGCCAGACCGAAACTGCACACCAGCCACTGCATTATAACGCAGCTACTGGTGTAAATGGACCCTAAGGGAGGGTTATAAATCCTCAGTTTTTTTCCATTTGTGTTCCACTGGGTAGAATTCCCTTCACTTCCTGTCCCAAAACCAGTGCAGGAAGTGAGAGGAAATCACTCTGACAGGTGTTCTAATCCACTCCTCTCCAAAAAAAACAAAAAAAAAAAAAAAAATAGTTTTGTTTTAAGTTACACTTCAAGGTACACATTACATTCACTTTGCTATCCTAAAATGTGCTAAAGTGATTGTAAAGCTTTGGATTCAATTTTTTAAAAATAACAAACATGTTTCCTGCTCAGTGCAATGATTTTGCACACAGCAGTCATGATCCTCCTCTTCTCTGATCCCCTACCGAAGCCGTCAACTCCTCCCCTCCGCTGAGTGCCCCCCTAGCAAGCTGCATGCTATGGGGGCACTTGTATGTGCTCGCTCTCGAGCCGCCTCTGTGTGTCCATTGACACACAGAGCGCAGCTTGGTTCTGCAGCCCCCCAACCTTACTGGTTGTGACTTTTGTGTACAATTATTAGGGGGGATGGGGGCAGAACACTTAAAGCTTTTTTTACCTTAACAAATGCATTAAGAAAAATAACCTTCAGGCTTTTTAGAACTACTTCAATTCCTTTGCTTTCTGTGACTGATCTTGAGATCACTATAAAGCACTGCTATACTGAACAATTCAATCCCAAGTAATGTCCCACACCTTTCTTTATCCTTAGATTGTACGCCCCTTGAGGGTTAGGGACTGATGTGAATATACAATATATATGTAAAGCGCTGCATAAATTGACGGCG